ACATTTGAAATCGGTAAGTTATGCTGTCTTGGATAAGACAAAGACCAACTAGGACCAATTATGTGAAGTGTTTTGTCTTGATAAGAACTACACTAACTCTTGAATATTTGTTTTGTCAAGGAATGTTTCTTGACAATTGAACCCTATATGTCAAGGAGTCAGTGGGAGTCTTAATGGTCTTGAAAAGTTTCAAGAACAAATCAAAAGTAAACCTAGTTAATCATCATTAGCGCATGACTTGAAGTTTATAACCTATCGTGTTGACATTATTTGTTTCTGTGCCATTCCAATTAAGCTAAATATGTATGTGAGTTCTATGAGTTCTCATTTGAATGCATAAAGACAAAGCACCTTGATCAATGGAAAGTACATTGATATGTAAGGATGAGTTGCTAAACCACTTGGAAGACATGGTGGGCACTCGTGTTACCATGAGGCAAGAAATCAAGATTGAACAAGTTCAGTCCATATGGTTTTGGATTTGTCGCAAACTTTCGTTTTGACAAATTCACATGGATAGGAACACATACATCATAAAATCTAAGTGTCATAAGGTTTTCCTCCTTCATGAAAATGATTGTGAGGAAATGCTTTCACTAAGAGAGATTTTAAGAAGATAGCAATTGTGAAAATTGTATTCTCAAATTCGATTATGATTACGGCATCCCTTTTCATAGTTCGAATTGTGAGTTTTGGAAATTGATCTGAACATTTGGGACTTAGTAACATAAATTCTGAATTGTTTAGACACACATGTGACCTATCTAAGGCAAAGGTGTATGAGCTTAAAAAGCTTAGATAAAGGCTTATCAAAGCATTAGGTATTAGAAATATGAACTTAAGGAATTCAATAAGCATTGTTTCTAGAAGTTCAGTTGTTTTCTGAATACATGTCAAAGCTAGTGGGAACATAAGTGTTATGCTGGTAAGAAAATAATCATCATGTTAGTGGGAGCATGATTATTACGGTAAGTATTGCAAGTTAGCAATATTAATTATAGAAAACAAAGATTCATTTTGCAAAGTTGCAGGGGTTGAAAAGTTGTTTTTCTATAATTAAGGGAGAGAATATTATACTTCGTTTCAAAATTCTAAAGCTTAGATCGAGAAATGTTAATAAATTTAGTCAAGGATACATAGTGCATTCTCAAAATTCGATTATGATTACGGCATCCCTCTTCATAGTTCGAATTGTGGGAACAGGGCACATAAAATATTATGGCAGAAGGATGATGAAGTATCATGTCTTTATGTGAGACATTATGCATCGTGTCCAATACGCTTCGGGTATAGGATCGATTGCATATACTATAATATTTGACCATTCTAAAATTTTCCAAATGCCTAGGGCATTAAGAGGGAAAAGGGACTAGAACTGGTTTTTGACTAAAATAATTAAACAACTATCAAAGACGATCTGAGGTTCACTGAGGATTTGTCGCTTGTGAGTAGTTGGAAGTATAGTACTGGATGGACTATATTGACATTATTATGAATATATAAGATTTTATTAAGAATGAGTTGTCATATGACAAATATGGAAATGTTTCCATTAATGGGAGTTGGATATTAAAAAATATGTCTAGATTAGAAACTTTTATGCGAGAAGGATGTTCAAAGGAATGTACTTTGAATGTGAGACTTCACGTCTATGGAATTGTCTTGTAACAATTTCCGATAGAATACCTTGTAATTTCATTAGCCGGGTCTTGGTGACTTTTGTGCTATGACATTACGAAAGAATCATTGCATAAAATGTTAGAATCTGACATATTCTAAAAGTGGCAAGAATTTGGTATTCTTATACTAATAATAAGGATTGGGGATTGTGAAATGAGTTTCATTGGAAAAGTTTTCAATTGATCTATTTCACAAAGTATGGACCATAGGAAACCAAAGTGTGTATGCTTGGAGCATGGGACAATTGTGGTTATAATTCGAGTAATAAGTTGATTTTCTGAAACAGTAAGCAATGAATATGAGTAATCAATATGGTGTTTAAATAAAAGTGTTTTTATTTACGCTCAAAAGTTTTGGGACCATATAGGATTAATATTATTATTGCGTTTCATTTTGCATGTTTTGACTTCCAGAATAACTAGGTTATTCGAACCTCCACAGTCGGCCATACGTTGGAAGTAGGTATGAAGGAAGACTGTCATGAATCTGTCTGTAGATTGTCTAAAGTGTTTAGACATAGCACAAGTTTGATGCAGAGTTCATGAGTGCTTTGATAAGATTAAAGTGTTGGATTAAACCCACGCTCACTTGAATCACTTCATGGTTTTATCACGAGTGATTGGTGAGACGATAACATTGTATATTCTTGAAACCGAGACGTGTGAGTTGTTATTTGATGGTCGGTTGCACATTGATGATAAGGTGGTTTGGGCATAAATAATCCTTTCTCCAATAATTCCTTCTTGGGTTATATTGGTACCCGAAATTTGTTTTTCTTTAGAACCTTTTTTCTGGGTTTCAAGAAAACTTGGTTTTCCTTTACTAAAGGCTTCAGTAACCTTTTTTACAATTACCATATCGTTGTTAAGATGAAAGGCAATTCTATCTATCCATTGTATAAATGGTCCATAGACTTGGCAGAAGTTGTTGCCAATTCAATCTTCTGGGAGTCTTTTGAGCTACCTAAGTCTGGGTTTCCAATACTAGGATTGGGAGGTGAGTATTTCTTAAGTCCTGAGTATTTTCCCGGTTTGGTTTTTTGCTCTATAATGGAAATATTCTTGATGTGTTCAAGAATGTCTTTATTACAAGGGCAAGAATCAATCTTTTCAGACAACTCTTTAGTAATGGCTGCAATAATTTACAAACTGGTATCAGAGCCTTGTTAAAAATGGCATTACATTATAATAAAACACTTTACAGTGAAGTGTTTGAAGAAATTCAAAATATCGAGGATGAAATTTCTCATCATAAAGAAATGATTTTCAATAATAAGAAAAATTTAGTGCATATAAATTTCAGAATTCTACAAGCACAAAATAAACATACTCACGAATATATACCAACCATGGTTACTATACGTAAGTATCTCCTTCACAGGCAAAAAACATATCAAGAACACCTTGATAGAGCTTTAAACTCAGTTTCAGAACTCAGAAAGAGGATTTTGACTTGCTAAGCATCTCTTAAAATGAATAAAGAAATTTTCAACAATTCTGAAGAAAATAATTCAGAAGAAAACAAATCTTAACTTATGTTGAGGATGAAGACGGCTTTCATGCAAATCTCTTAATAAAACAAGACCTTCTCTCTCGAGTTAAGAAAACAGATTTAAAAATAAAGAAAGAAAACATTTTCAAGAATGTTCCTTCTAAACTTAGTATTTTAAACCCTCTCAAGAGGAAAAATGAAATTTTCTACTTTGTTAGTACTAAAGAAATGTCTGTAGACATAAAAGATATAATAGGAGCTGTTTTCCTACCCCTTTTAACTAAGGAACAAATAAACAATAACTTGAAAAATATTCCAGTTGAGATTAGATCAAAAATAAGAATGGTCCATATCGGAGCTGTAAAAATTTTGATAAAATCCCAATTCCAAGCAGGAATAAATTCTCCCATAAAAATGGCCTTAATTGACAACAGAATCACTGACCGACATGACTGCATCTTAGGTGCTGCCAAAGGAAACCTTGCTTACCAAAAGTTTGTGTTTTCAGTCTATCCAAAGTTTGCTCTGGATTTAAAATCTGCAAATATAGATAAAACTTTATCTTTTATACATCACTTTGAGAGAAGTGACCTTATGAGTCCAGGTGATAAACCATTCACAATAACCTATCTCATAGGATATGCCCTGACCAATAGTCACCATAGCATAGACTACAAGAAAGACGAGTATATTGAACTTGACGACGTCTTCTCAGAAATCGGCATGTCAAAGATAAGCAATTCTGCGACATAAATCCTCAAGAAAACTCTTGGGTTTTAAACATAGCTAGAAACAAAAAAGCTCTAGGAGAAACTCTTAGACCAAGAATTTCTATGGATTCACTTCACATAGGAAAAAGCTCAGAAAGAAAATATAGTAACTTAATAAGAAACATGTCTTTAAAAATTGATAGCCTACGTCAAAATATCAAACAAATCACTGAGATTGTAAATGAGTAATAAAATAGATTTTCCTCATTTTTATAAAAAAGGTAAAACAGTCAAAATTAAAACTCTTGACGACAATACTGAAAAGAAAAAAACGTTTTCTCTACTTCTGGAAAAGCTGGTATTCAAACAATTGTAAATCATTGCAATAATCTCAACCAGATCATTGCAAGATGTCTTTTAAAGGCTTCAAAAATAAGCCATTACCTTGGTGTTTCAAAAGATATTTCTACAAATATTTCAAAAAATAAAATACCTTTTAACCAATTTAAAAGTGATTTAGCTTTCCTTAAAAAATAATCTTGACAAAAAGATTTTGAAAAATTATTCGAAACAATCGAAAAACAAAATAGGTTGACTATTAAATTAACCCAATCTATTGATAAACATTCTATCCTCCTAGAAAACTCTTTAAAAAATAATCAGTTTGTGGAAGAAGTTGCCAGAAAAGCAAATATTGAAGGCACTCTTAAGGAAACCAACCTTAAGATCACTAGTATACAAGACCAGTTAAAACAACTGATAGGATGAGCTTAACCGAGCTCAATAGATCGATCAACCTCCTTGAAGAAAAAATAGCTGGGCTGATCATAAACCTCGACTTAACAGTCAATAAATACGTAACCACTAACCAGTTAGAAGTTGCATCTGCAAAAATTATTGCAGACATTACTAAAGAGTTGTCCGAAAAGATTGATTCTTGCACTTGTAATAAAGACATTCTTGAACACATCAAGAATATTTCCATTATAGAGCAAAAAACCAAACCGGGAAAATACTCAGGACTTAAGAAATACTCACCTCCCAATCCTAGTATTGGAAACCCAGACTTAGGTAGCTCAAAGACTCCCAGAAGATTGATATCTTTAGGAAGGAGAAACAATGAAAGAAAAAGTCTCCGAGCAGCTCGAGAAATATTTCTTTAATCTTCAGTATGAAGACTATGATAAACCTGACCAAAAACTCATTCAGCTTCTATCCTTGGAAACTGAAGAATGCGAAGAACTATATCAAAAAGAGCCACAACTTTTTGATCAATACTTTAAAGTAGCTAAAGCAAATGAACCTGATACCGAATCAGAACAGGAAGACAATCCTAACATAAACGCTGTCAAGTTCGAATACTCAGATAGCAACGAAGAAATGGAAGCAGAATCTTCATATATGGCCGCAAACAGAGGCGAGATAAAGAAGAAAAAGAACTATGAGTTCAAAATGCCTGTCCATAACGGTATTCCAAATAGTGGTAAAGGACCCAATATGATCAATGTCCTCAATATGATTGTATTGTATCCAGGACTTAAAACTCAGAGAAAGAGTTATAGAAAAATGGGTTACTGAGATTTCACTAATCTTACAAACAAACCCAGATGAATTTGGAAATGCAAAAAATGTTCTCCTACTTTTAGAACACAAGACTGATGGAATTGTGCAAAAATTCCTTAGAAATAATAATTGGAATGAAGAATTACATGGATTAGACCTTTTTGATAATCTTATAAATGTCATTTACACTACCTTCTTAGGACTAGATTATGTCTCCAATAAAGACTTCACTATAAATAAGAAAGTCGACATAGCAAGAGTCTCAATGACAAAACTCCAGTTACATGATATTTGTCTCCTTGACAAATACACATGTAGATATGAATCATATCTTTATGATATTCCACAGAGATGTGAATATTCACAATGGATATCTGCTTATCTTATGAAAATACCAATCATTGGAGAAATCTGTACTGAAAGATGGAAAAAAGAAGCCATTGGAGAAATTCAGCAAACCAGTCTTTCTTATGCAAAAAAAATTGCAAAGAAGAAATTGACAGAATATGTCAAGACAGGTATAAACAACAAAAAGCTTAAAACTATAAGCAAGGATTGTTGTAACATTCTGTCTGATTTCAAAGATTTTGATATCGGAAGAAAAACTTATACTAAGAAAAGTATAAAGAATAAAAACAAAAAGAAATACAAATCTTTTTGGAAGAAGAAAAAGAGAAGATATTCTCCAGGAAAATACTTCAAAAAATCTTCGAAAGAAACACCTAAAAAGAATACTTCCTACCCACAAGGAAAGAAAAAATGCAGGTGTTGGATTTGCAACGAAGAAGGACACTACGCTAATGAATGTCCAAATAGGAAAAAGTACCCTGACAAGGTCAAAGTATTACAAGCCGCTAATAACGGAGGCTATGAAGCTCTTGAAGAAGAATACGACGGTATACAACGTGTTTTCATTCTACATGTTGATACTAATTCCTCGTCATCCTCAGAAGAAGATGAAACAACTACTGATGACTCAGAATAGCCTTAAACAGACTCCGGCTTTTAAGACGGGTGAGGTTAACCAAATTTTGTGCAAACCTCCAGAAAAATAATGATTCTCTCATGAATCTCACTAATCCAAACTCTATTTATGTTTCTACTTTCCTTAACTTCAAAGGATATAAGAAATTTAGGGTACACTGTTTTGTAGACACAGGTGCATCCTTATGTCTTGCAAGCAAGTTCATCATTCCTGAAGAACTATGGGAAAATGCTCCCAAAGAAATTGTCGCTACTATTGCAAATGGTGACACTATAAAAATTAATAAAGTTTGCAGAAACATTAATCTCGAGCTTTCAGGAGAATATTTCAACGTTCCCACTATTTATCAACAAGACTCAGGAATTGATGTTGTAATTGGCAACAACTTCTGCCAAGTCTATGGACCATTTATACAATGGATAGATAGAATTGCCTTTCATCTTAACAACGATATGGTAATTGTAAAAAAGGTTACTGAAGCCTTTAGTAAAGGAAAACCAGTTTTCTTGAAACCTAGAAAAGGGTTCTAAAGAAAAACAAATTCGGGTACCAATATAACCCAAGAAGGAATTATTGGAGAAAGGATTATTTCTCCCAAAACACCTTTTTCAAACAGATAGAGAATCTTCTTGAAAAAGTTTGTTCTGAAAATCCTATTGATCCAGAAAAAACCAAAGGAGATGGATGAAGGCTTCAATCAAGCTCATTAATCCTAAAACAATTATCATAGAAAAACCTATGGTTACTCTCCACAAGATAGAGAAGAATTCTCCAAACAAATCAAAGAAACCTTGATATAAGATTAATCAAAGAATCAAAATCTCCTCATATGTCCCCTGCTTTCTTTGTTTAACAAAGATGCTGAGAAAAGAGAGGAAAGAAACGCATGGTTGTCAACTACAAAGCAATCAATGATCAACCATTGGAGATTCCCATAATCTCCCTAATATGCATGAGCTCTTAACCCTGTTACGGGGAAAAAAATATTTATTCAAGTTTCGACTGCAAATCTGTTTTGGCAGGTCGGTCCTACTTGATGAAGAATCGCAGCACTCTTTTTTACTGTGTCCTGATGGGACTCTTTCAATGGAAGGTACTACCTTTGGGCTTAAACAAGCTCCGTTTTTTCAAAGACACATGTCATCGCCTCTACGGGTCTTGAAAGTTTCTACGGTGTATACTGTGTTGATGTTATGTTGTATCATGGTCAAAAATCTGCAAAATGAACAAAACACTATGTTCTGTTACCCAGGTTCTCAGAACCATTTTAAAATACGGAATAATACTTTCAAAAAAGAAAGCTCATCTTTTCAAAACAAAAATTAATTTTTTGGGTTTAGAAAAAATGAAGGCACTCATTGTCCCCAAAAACATATTCTTGAACATTTACATGATTTTCCAAATGTTTTAGAAGATAAAAAACAACTGCAAAGATTTCTTGGTGTTTTAACTTATGTTGAAACATATATTGAAAAACTTGTAGCCATGAGAAAGCTCTTACAGGCAAAATTAAAAAAAGATGTCATTTGGAATTGGTCAAATACCGATACAGATTATATCAAAATGATAAAGAAAATTTTAATCAATTTTCCAAAGCTTTAGCTTCCGAATATTGAAGACAGTTTAATTATTGAAACTGATGCTTCTGATGAATTTTGGGGAGGAGTTTTAAAAGCCAAAAATTCCAAAACGAAGAACAAATTTGCAGATACACCTCTGGCAGTTTCAAAACAGCCGAGATAAACTATCATAGCAATGAAAAAGAATTACTTGCTGTAAAAAGAGTTATTACAAAATTCTCTGTATATTTAACACCGGTAAAATTCCTGGTCCGTACAGATAATAAAAATTTTACTTATTTTCTCCGAACTAAGATCGCAGGAGACAACAAATTAGGCCGACTAATACGTTGGCAATAGTGGTTCTCTCGATATACTTTTACTGTAGAATACTTGCAGGAGATAAAATTGTGATGTGCAAGTGCACTGTTCTCACCCGTGACTTCAGGTATGTCTTACATCATCCATGATCTCACTTGCTCCTCTCGAGCCTATAAAAGGATATGATCCCCAACGCATATTCCTTACAAACTTCACTCACAAAAAGAGGGGAAGGATAAAGAGTAAATTTACAAAATGGAAGACCTCAAATCCCTGAGGATGAAGTAACAAATGCTCCTCATAGAGCTATCAGCAATCGAACAAAAAATCAACTTGTATGAACAAGTAACAACGGTCACCGATGTACCGGAAAGCGAAAGCTTAAAAACAAAGGCTATTCCAGTGCAAACGACATCTGGTAAAGAAACAACAAATCCGTTGAAAGCTGATGCTTTGCTTAAAAGCATAATAAAGGAGACAGCTACTCCTCTTCCAGAAGGAAAAACTAGCTTGTTGGTTAATTCCAATCCTTGTACTGAAGGAATCAGTAAAATGACAATTTTTGTCACCCACTAACGAATCTGTGCAGGAGCTTAAACCAGATTACAAAAAGGCTCTTAACAAAGAAGCTGAAAGATTCTATGTAATCTACAAAGGGCCACACGCCGGAATACATACAGACTGGGGAATTACAGAGACCTTCTGAAAGGTCGATAAAGTAACATGCAAAAAGTTCAGAAATGAAACAAGTGCACGACTTAGTTTTGCCACCTTCAATGACGAAGCCAATCAAACCAAAAAACCTCTTCTAAAGCCGAAAGTCCGAAAGATCAAAGAAGAACACAGAGACCAAAGATTTGACATCCCAAATGACGTCGAATATGAAGCCAACAACCCTGCAATCTCCTTTGAAGATTTCAGAATAATCTGGAGTAAAGCTAGAGCAGCATGCCCAGAAGATCTTATCCACGAGAGATTTTTCACAACAGATAAGAAAACCAAAAGTCTGTACAACTTCCTTGAAGGAGCAGATCCAAGATTAATCCAACAAGCCTTTTCAGCAGGATTAATAGACAACATCTATCCAAGCTGCAATTTGCAAGAACTAAAGTTCTTCCCATCCAGCATGATAGAAACCATTAAGAACTTCCGAAAGAAAGTTCTCAAAGCAAGAGATGATCCAATTTATATCAGAGTCATCTCCTCTCTTCCAGATTAGATTCAAGGAGCAACACTTGCCCCTTATCACTATCTAGAAATTGGCTTAGCAAAAGCCAAAAAAAAGACATCGAACAATCTCGACCAACGGAAGACAAAGATCTCCCGTTCGAAGAAATCCTTCATCAAAATCGTATCTACGGCCTTAGAAGAATTTCTGAAAAGATCATTGAGATAATCTCAGGATCAAAGAAAAAAGTTAATTATACAAATTCACACTGTATAATCACCAGCTGGAGCTATGGCAACACCAGCAACGAAGACCTTGAACGAGCATCCAAATTCGGAGAATAGTTCATGAACAACAACTTTGATGCATCTACCACTACAAGACAAATTTTCTGTAAGCATGCGGAGCAGTTGTTTGAAGACCATCATTGCAACTACTGCAATTGCAGTGATTCCACGACAAAGGAGGGTCCCTTCTCTGAAGATGACAAATCTTCATCATCTTAAAGAAAGATGCTTCACGCGTCAAATGGCACCCGCCACTCAAGAAAATAATGCCTCCTACATTATTAGAAGCTTTCCAGCTGTCCATAATAATGTAATCGTTAGTGGATAGAAACGTCATGCCTGACATAATAGGCAATTATCAGACCCTCTCAATGTATCTATAAATTGAGAGTTATGTTTTCATTTTAGGATATCGCAAGAACGAGGGCAAGAAAAACACTCCCTATTCTGTAAATTTTTAATGTCTTGTGAGTAAAATCTCCCTTAGAAGGGAGAAGATGTAAAATATTGTAAGAGTACTTCCATTTCGGGAGCTCTTTTATCAATAAATCCATGTTTTGTTATACTTGAGTGTTCATACAAAATAGATTCATGAAACCTATAAGTGACAGAGTGTCAGGTCGACGATGGTCAACAGTACCGCAGGCATAAGGCCAACTGGGAAAGCAACCACACAGACCAACGGATGACACAGGCTGACTTGAATAGTTTCCATCTATGTAAGTAATACTCCTACTCCAAAACACTTATTGATTAATGAGTTTTCTCTTTACAATTTTTATATCTATTCCCTTCTTAAAATCCCACATACATACATTTCAAATCCAAACAAACCCACTTTACAAATCCTAACTGGTATAGTAAACGCACCAGTAACTTGGTGTTATAAAACTTATTGTTGTGTGTGATTCGATTAGTAGGTGCAAGCAAGCATTTGAGCCAAAGTTTATCCATTCCTTTTACCCAAGGTGGGATAAAAGCGATATTTGTGGGCCCCTCGATGATTTAGTGATGACAAAGGAAAGTGCTCGGCCGGGCCAGGACTGATTTGATTTGTTCAATTAGTCAGTCGTCATAAATCGGAAATTGGGAAACGACACATAGACTGAGAGAATGATTTCAATCCATGTCTCATGTCTATACGATATCTTGTAGAATGGAGGAATATATGATCCCTTATCTAAAGGACACGCGTATCTGATAAGATCAGAGTTGACAGCGGCTTTTGGAAGCTACGATTGCTGATCAGGTTCTGAAGTCATACGCAGAATAGTTATTAGACTTATCCAAGTGGGAGACTGTTGGATTAGTGTCTAAGTCCATAACTATTTTGGTATGTACTTGACCCGATTATGAGCATGGTCCTTTTGGGTTGCCTTCACCATAGCAATATGTAGGATGAATTAAGGAGAGAAAGGTTTAATTATGATTTATTAATATATTATGAGAATAATATATTAAAGGAGAAATCATATAGTTTAATTAATATTAGTCAAGAATTAATTAAGAATTAATTTTGTGGCTAAAAGAGATTAATTAAATTAAGGGGACTGATATTGTAATTATAAGATAGTTACAAAGTTGGGTTTTGGATTCATTAGATGGCAATGGACGAATTCTATATGGAGGTCCATAAAGAAATCGTCCAAGGGCCTTCTGGAATGGTCCATTGGATTGCTTAAGGCCTAAGCAGTCAGATTAGGGTTTCCTAGTTGTAAACCCTAATAGCCTACATGTATATAAAGGACCCTTAAGCCCCAAATCTAGGGTTTGTAAGTCTTGGATTTATTGCATGAACAATAGAGAAACCTAGATCCAAGCATTAAGGTTTGTATGAGCACATAGGATTGTTCTTATGCTTAAAACCCATCAGGAGCAGCATCCAGAGCTATTTGAGGAGCATGACTTCGAGGGTGAAGTCTGATTCTAGTGGGGGAGAATTGTCACATCCCGAGTCCAGGTATACTTCGAGAACCTTGATCTATTGAGCTATTGTCATTTTTGGTCCTTATTATAAAAAGAGTGAAAAACGAGTACGCGGGGCATACATGAGGTGTACACTTAGCGTAATCGTCAGCGTGCTTGTGACGCGGAGGCCACCTAGTACGCTGGGTGTACCCGTGAGTATGCCGGGCGTACTAGGCCCAGAGTGCAACCCTAATTTGGGGTGAGTCCCCTATATAAGGGATATGATGGCCTCATTTCTGGCCACCATTCCCAGAGAGAAAACCCTAAGAGTGCCCTAACCTCTGTTCTAGAGCTTGTGTGTGTGTTTGATCCTTGAGAGTGTTTGTGTGGTTTTGAAGAGAAGATACAGTCTTGAAGAAGGAGGAGTTGGAGTCCAAGCTTCTAGATCCGAGCAAATCTGAGTGGGAAGCTTCTTATTGAGGTATAAAGCTTCAGACTTTGCATTTCCTTTGTTATGAGCATGTTATTTGAGCATTTTAGGGTTTTGTCCCATAAAGGTGGAGTCTTGATGAGATCTTGAACTCCAGAGTCTAGGACCAACCCCTTTTGAGTGTATGAGTAGTGTTATGTCATAAAAATCCAATCTTGGTTGGTGAAATCACTCCATGCATGAGTTATGAGATCCTTGAGATAAAAGAGTGTATATTTTGGAGGATGGTGCCGAATCAGCCATGCAAAGGCTTAAAGTCGATGACTTTATGGATTAAGAGACATTAGAGAGTCTAGATCTGAGATATGAGCCTATGTCTTAACTGATTAAGACCAAAATCGTGAGAAGGGTGAATCTGGGGCGTACGCTGGGCGTAACCCCAGTACGCGCAGCGTAGGGGTCGAGCATCCCCGATTTCTGTATCGCAGCCGAGTACGCCCAGCGTAGGGAGGTGGAACGCGCAGCGTACTCCCAGCCTTGACTTTTGTTGACTTTTAGGGTTTGGTCAATTTGTGAACTATTGAGCCTTTGGAGGGGTAAAATGGTCTTTTACCCTTCTGTGAGTGTAGAAGGATGAGTCTAGCTTCTTGAGGACCAATATTAATTAGGGATAATTATTATGTGATAGGCGGAGGCTAGACCGGTGGGTAAAGTTCTGGATTTCCGAGTACGAGGTTTTCACTTGTTAGCTTACGAGGTGAGTCTTCTCACTATACTTACCTTGAGTGGTAATTTTATGTGTGACCAGAGGGTATTATGTGAATGAGATGTGTATTGAGATATCCTGCTATTTGTTATGTGATATGTTTACTGTGTATTATATTAAGCTGCTGTGTTGAGGGACCAGAGGGTCCATCTGAGTTGTGGTACCGGAGGGTCCCACTGAGACACATTGACCGGAGGGTCTTATTGAGTTATAACCTCGAGTGGATGATGTGTTGTGTGTGGTATTTTGGGGAACTCACTAAGCTTTATGCTTACCGTGTTATGTGTTATGTGTTTTAGGTAGTTCCGAGGATCGCGGCAAGGCACCGTTATGATTGTACACACTAGCGAGAGATTGTTTTATGATTCTGGGATTTACGTTTTATTTGTTGACATTTGAGACATATGTGATTTTGAGAATTATGAAATGAGTTATATTATGTTTTTAAAATGAGAAAAATTGTTTAAAAATTTACGTCGTTACACCACCGCTGAGAGAAAGTATGAACGTCAGATTGGTAAGAGGAGTTAAAATATTACTTGAAAGCCTAGAACTGGGGAAACACTCCCAGGGTTCGACAGGCTATTTCGAAACCCACTATATTGTTGACGGCGTTCGGAGTCAGATCATCCACAAAGAAGCCGTATTGCCGCATGATCTCGTCAAAAAAGTCGGCTGTCGGTAGCCTTAGACCTGCCTCGATGATCGGAATGGGGACTCCAACCTTACCCTCCAGCGGGCAAGAAATGATCGCTCCCTTTCTAGGATATTGCACCTCGTGCTCAAGCAAAAAGCTAAATCGAGCCTGTAAGGCCTCGAATTCACTTGATGCTAGCTCAATCGCGGTATTCGGTGTTGCCATTACTTCCCGATAACAAACGTGAGATGGGAGAGAAAATAAGTGAAGAGAAGGAAGAGGCAGTTGAAGAATAGGAAGCGTAAAAAAGAAAACCGTCCATGATAAGGAAAGTTTTAAATACAAAGTAGGAAAACCGAACAGTTACAATGATGAAACCGTCTGCGCAGACGGCTTCATCACATCAGTGGGCGTCAGAGCCATCTCCGTCGAACATGTGTCTTGATCTAAGCTAGAGCAACTCTGCTAGACAGGCTAATGTTGACGTTTACTAACCTAGGGGACTTGTTGACGTATCCCTTTAGGAATACGTTAAAGATAACAGAACAGTTATCCAAAGGACGACCTAGCTAATGGTCGCTACCCAACTCAAGTGTCAGGTCTGGGCTCTCGCCCTCGCGACCTCGCACCTAGACCTCGGCGCCCTAGCGCTAAGGTCCAACTCAGAACGAGAAACTTCGGTATATACCAAGCCAAAACAGTACTAACTGCTTCCAAGAGCGACAAGTGTAGCGCTCAGAGCATTGTCCTTTGGTAGTTCTGCACCAATAACAGATGACCGATAGTGGTGCATAATCCGCCGATGGGACGCCTCCACGTCCTGTCGGCCCAGATAAGACAAAAGGTATTGTCGGGGACATGCTCCTACGACAACAGGTATGAAAGAAACCCTTCCTCTTCAGAAGGAGGGATCGCTTAATTCTCTATCTTAGTCCTAAACCTAATTCTCTCATACAACCACTAACTAGACCGTCGGAGCTTCGTTCCGGTACCACCTCCCCGGACGATGATTGACGTCGGTTCTTTCTTTGTTGTGATTCTCAGGCTTAACACAAAACGAAGCCATTCCTAGACGGCGTTAAGCTCGGAGCACATATCACAACAATGGACATGATAAAGCTTTCAATTACACTTACCCATCTGTTCGAACAAGCCCTGAACTTTTTCTCTGGATTATCCTCCCTTCTAAATGTCCAAATTCGTGAAGGGCTTCCACATCCACATTGATTTGCATCGTCAAATATCGTCTTTGTAGATCTTGAGTTGGATATCAACGATTAAGAGGAAGAAGAAGAAGAAGTAGTCATTATAAGAGATCAAATACAGACGTCGTTTGTTTTTCTCTTCTCCAAGCGCTAAATCGATATATAAAGGGCAATTCTAATATGTTTATTCCATATCATTAAATATAATGTCATGTTATTTGTCAACTAATTGTAGACCTAATGAATCTGATTGCCTCTAATGAGAATTGAACAAAAGCATAAGTTCGCTGGATTTTTCTGAACAGACAAAACATGATTGAGATTTTTTGAACGGTTTCGAAACTTCTTTGGTCTTACAAGTCGTTTTCCCGATATTTAATTCAACGTCATAACCAATGTCATTTGTTGATTTTCATTAGCTGGTTGACCCTAATAAGAATTGAACAAAAATTTAAGTTAGTTGGGTTTTTTAGACAAAATGTTAAGTTCGTTAGATTTTCTTCAACAGACAAAACATAATTGGGTTTGTTAGATTTTCTTGAACAGACCGGGTTTTTTTAAGGGTTTGAAAACTTAGTTGTACCAAGTCATTTTCCATATTATATAATATATATGTACATGGTTTTGACCGCCCAAAAGATACTGCCTATATATTTGTGCATGAATGACACATCAATCGATCTTTGCGTCAACGGACTAAGGAAGCCAGTTCATTCATCTAGCTTCTTCTCGACTTCCATCAATGGCGTCCCTTTTTACAACTTCAGTCACCCATCTTCCATCTAGGCTCACTTCCACCCAATTCACCATGGTAATATATATGTCCATAGACATAGTCTCCGTAATTTTCTGGGTATGAAACAAAATAACCATAGTAATTGTTTCTGAATTCTGATGCAGGGTGGACAGAAAGTCGTGATCTTCAAATCACAAAGAAGATCATTGCAGATCTCCCACTGATTCAAGACCACATTTTCATGCTCAGCCGTAAGAATTTAATCACGTTCAAGTGCTCCGTTCAATCTTCACTGTAATTGTAGCAAATTCTACATCGTTATCTTATGTTCTACAGGCTGAACCAGAGACTCTGAAGATAGTGCAGACCACCATTGCCAAGCAATTGTCAATCGATGACGATGAGACTACTGTTGCCCCAGCAACCAAATTCGTTGATCTTGGTGCAGATTCCCTTGACACCGTAAGTTTTTTTTTTCCTTAAGTTTTCTTATGATGATGATGATGATGATTATTATCATGGAAGTATGGTTGCTTATTTTATTGATTCGTTCAAACAGGTTGAGATTTTAATGGCTTTGGAAGAACAGTTTGGTGTGTCGATCGGAGAAAGTGGAGCTGAGAACATCTCCACAGTTCAAGACGCTGCTGACCAAATTCAGAAAGTAAAAGCAGCTGATGCTTAATTAACATAATTTCGTTGGAATTTTCTGATTATTTTTCTGGGTGTCCATCTAGACCTCCCAAATAAATGCAGTTAGTTCAAATCTTAAAAATTAAAATGTCACAAGTTAATTAATAACAGATATCGAATCTCATGGTTAATTATCATACAAAGATGGAAGCTTCATTGACATTATCAAAATTGTAATATTTTACAAGATCACATCGGAGGTGTTCAAGAACCATGTCCAGTAGATGCCTGGATCATCTATCTACGTGAAACAAAATAATAACATAAAAAGATCCAAACATAAGCAGCTAGAAGCTATATGGTTTTCGTCTTTCTAAAACTTGAAGCAGCAATGTCTCCATTGATCTGCAACTTCTGAAGCATCTCATCTTATTAAATACTACTATACTACATTACCTTACGCCACATATATTATACAAATCACGGGCTGCATATTATACACAGATGTTATTTTTATATATGTCTGTATAAATACATATATATACATATACACATATACACACACAAAATTGAAAGATGTTACTGAGAACGCATTGGTCGTCTGATTGGGTCTTCATTTAACGATCCAAAGAACTCAAAACGATCCTAACCAAAATTAACGTTTTTTTCGTAAACATAGTAACGATTAAAGGTATTTGTAATAAAAGAAATCAGAGAGAGAAAGAGAACAAACCAATCATAACCAGTAGGACTTTTGGACTCCCTACGGGCTTCGGTAGTAGATTTCCTCCGTGTTAATTTCCTGAAATCCCCGCCGGGCGACGTCGCTGAACACCGTTAATTAATTTCCAAACACACACACACAAATTATATGTCGACGTCGTCGATCGTATGTATGTTTAAGAATTAAGAAGAAGTGTATAATGAACTACCTGAGAAAGGGGAACCAGCAGCGCTGGATCCAGCCGGAGACGACGGGGTAGAAGGGGAAGACGAGAGGCTGTTGGTCCGGAGAATAGTGATGCTGCGGGATACGGGTGTGGTTTCGTCGGCGTGTGCGGCGGAGGGAGGAATGTTTGAACGGGAGAGGAGAGAGTTATATCTGCGAAGCTTGCTGAGGCCGGAGTCGGAGGTAGAGCCGGAGAGGGCGTCGTCCCAGAGGTTACGAAAGAAACCCATGATTGTTATTAGTAATAATAATAGTGGCTAATTAATTAATTAAAAAACTAGTTGTTAATTTCGTTTCTTTCCTGTAACAACCGGAATTAGGTGGGTTAAGCAAAAAAAAAAAATAAGTCCGGCGGTGGCGCCACCCGAATGCGACTGTTACGAATAGAAGGAGAAGCGTTAACTTATTGAAACAAAAACTGGAGGAGAAGTTCTTACGCGAGTAATTGGGAGTCATGGGGGATTTATATAGGTTTGATGATGAGATTTGATGGTGGCCGTTGGATTTGCTAGGTGTGTAGATAATATCGCAGGGATTAACGAATGAAAAGCAAACCCACCAAATGGCCCATGCTCACTTGCTCAGGCTGTGATAGTTGTCACTCCTTTGTGTATGCACGTGGATAGGCAGATGAGTCATGTCCACCTCTTTCATTAATGTTGAGTTTTTAATTAAACATATCGAAAGATTTCGTATATAACCTGGAGCTTGCAAAAATCGATTCAACCCGTCAATCCAACCCAAACCCAACCCAAAATTAACGAGTTGGGTTGAGATTTTCAACTCATTTAAGTTAAATGGGTCAACCTGTCTAACCCATTTAATTAAAGAGGTTGGGTTGGATAAAAGTTATCAACCCGTTTTCAACCCACCAACCCATTTAACTTTAATATATGTTTAATTTAATATTATTTGAATATTATCATGTATTAATCGAAGTATTAATTTATAAATAAAAATGTTGTATTATTATTTGTGTTTTAAAAAAAATGTAATCTTAATTCCCATCTTTTCTCTTATCTCCAAAAATACTAGTCACTCTCCAAAATCTCTTTGAAATTAATATTTTTTATGTTATTTGATCAATTTATTCAAATTTGTAAATTGTAATTGTGTTTTTGTTATACTTTGAAATTTTATTTATGTTTGAAACTGATTTATAGTATAATCTTTAGTTAATGTATATAATTATTTGATTATAAATAAGTAAACCTAAGTTTAACTCATTTATTTAATATGTTGGATCGATAAATACATAAATTGGTCAACCCGCTGGTAACTCATTTATCTATAAGGTTAGGTTGGGTTGGAAATATCAACTCATTTAAATAAATAGGTTGGGTTGGGTTGATATCTTCAACCCAATTAATAAATGGGTTGAACCCGAACCCAACCCAGGTCGACGCATTGTCAGCTCTAATATAACTTTGCTAAATATTTAAATATCGTATTTGTCCGGTCTAAATTCTAAATATCGGATTTGTCATTCTTAATGTTTTTTAATATCATATATACCAAATCTATTTTTTTTATAATTTTTATTAATTTATAATTCTTTTTCATAATCTTAAATCACTATAATTAAAAAAACATTTTAAATGGACAATATTGCCCTTAATTCTAAATTTCAATACAATACAACATATCACGTTTTATTAATTACAAAATTCCGCTTTTTGTTAATTACGATTTACGATTGCATGCTTCTTCCCAATAGAGGCGTAAATCCCCTTCATTCTTCACACTTTTCCCATTCTTTCTTCTCTCTACACTCTTTTCTAACCTCCCCCCCCCCAAAGCCTAGGGTACCCCCTAGCACTAGAAGGAAGCCCCAGTGCTCCCGAAGGCTCCGAGAAAAAGAGATTTTCGGCTCGGAAACGCTGATTCAGCGAAATCCAGTTTTTGATAAAACCCGCTGTAAATGAACTACGCCTACACTATTTTTAATATAACTTTTATTTGAATATAATAATGTTATTAGGACCTTATAATAAATAATTGGGCTATTATTATGAGTTATATAAGTGTCGTTATAATATATTTTTTAACCACTCGCGGTACGGGGAATCTGGTTTATAGGGCCGCATAGGGTTGTTGGATTTCAGAAGTGCTATATTCCAAAATGGTCCTGCCCTCCGGTGTTTTATGTGTAACACCCCGAATTCAGAAGACCTTGAAAGGGAAGAAAACCTCAAAATGAGGAAGCGACTCGTCGAGTAGATGGAGTGACTCGACGAGTAGGATCGCGAATTGGGTCGCAGGTTAAGTGACCTACTCGACGAGTCAGAAGACTGACTCGGCGAGTTGGTCAGGTTTGGGGAAAACCCTAAATGCGGGCCTTGTACCCTATTTAAAGAACATTATAACATTCCCTCAGCCTCCTTACTACCCCTCAAGTCCAGAACGAAAACCCTAGAGCCTCCCTTAAGTTGTGAGTCATTTTGAGAGTTTTGGAGCATTCTTGAAGCTTGGAGGAACAAGTAGAAGGTTGGAGGTTCAAGGAGGAAGAAGTAGATCCAGAAGATTCATTCCATTAGCTGCTCATTTTGGTAATCAAGTTCCCTCCTTGACTTCTAGTTTGATAGATCTCTTTATAACCCTATTTATGAAGTTTATAGACCAAGAATGATTTCTTGTGGGATTTGGACGTCCCCAAGATAGATCCTTTCAGATCTGGGAATATTTAGAGTAGTAAAGGCATAAAGGTGGAAGCTTTATGCCAATAGAACTCCCCATGCAAAGTTTAAGTGGTTATTATGGCCTTTTGAGCAAAAAGGGCAATGCAAGGGTGCAAAGGTAGCAGCTTTATGTGATGTCCCGACTCTAGGAGGCCAGATCTGGGTCTTGGATGCCTTGAGCTTGTATGAAATCGTCTAATTAGTGTTGGACATAGAGAGACTCGGCGAGTCAGTTGTGGCACTCGGCGAGTCTGGCCAGTTCTTGCCCCAAAACCCTTCTGTTAAGGGTATGAGTTGAGATTGGAAAGGGACTCAGCCAGTCTGAGTCCATAATGGTCATGAAGTTCATCGTACTCGACGAGTTCAAGGAAGAACTCGGCGAGTCTAAGGCAATCTCCTTAGTTATGAATATGGACTCGACGAGTTGCTCATACAACTCGGCGAGTCACAGACTAGACACATTCATATGTGGATGATGAACTCGACGAGTTCAAGGATGAACTCGACGAGTCGGTTGAAGATGGCCCCGATATATGGTTGAAGGAGGACCCATCGAGTTCTTGCTAGACTCGACGAGTTGAGTCGAGGGATGTATTGGGTTGTAGGGGTATGGACTCGACGAGTTGGTAGACCAACTCGGCGAGTCAGGTCAACTGGATGTTGACTTTGACCGTTGACTTTGACTTTGTCCCGAGTTGACTTGGTTTGACTTCTGGAGGACATTTTGGGACTAAGTGTTATGTTGGTATTGGTAGCTCGGGGAGCTGGAGGAGCAGCAGTTCGGGGAGTTGTCAGATAGTTGTCAGAAGGGTATCAGCAAGAACTTCAGCAGTGCAAGGTGAGTCTCCTCACTGTGTGCATGGGTCTACGGCCACAATGTCGGCCCATTATGTTTATGCTTATGGTTATGTGTAGCAGGAAGACCCGGGGGTTAGCCCTAGGCACTTATTGGGATATGTTCGGATTTAGATCCGTTACCGGGGTTAGCCCGATGCAGTTTATATGTTCCGGATTTCGGTCCGATGTCGGGTGGTACCCGAGGCAGTAGTGTAGGTGTAGTTATACTTGTTGTCTTTGTGATACTTGTATGTGCCTGGTAGGGAGGTGAGTCGGGCGAGGTCCCGTATCTCATCACTAGCCGAGTATGGATGGGGTTTCGTATCTCATTAGTAGCAGAGTAGGGGCGAGGCCCGAGTTAGTAGGGAGGTGAGTCTGGGCGGGGGCCTGTATCTCACTATCAGCAGGAGCGTGGACGGGGTTCCATGACTCACCAGTAGCAGGACAGGGGCGGGGCCCAAGATAGGCGAGGCCTTAGATCAGTAGTACAGTAGAGTATGTTTAGCTTTATGATATGTGTTATGTTATATGCTTGTATTTGTTGGTAGCGGGCGAGGCCCAGAGACAGGCGGGGCCTAAGAGAACAGATCTGTATACCGAGCGGGGCTCAATGCCAGGCGGGGCCCGATGCAGTGGGCGGGGACCAAGTTAGTCCGGACTTTGGTCTGATGTCGGGCAGGGCCTGATGCAGTAGGCAAGGCCCAGTATGTGGTTATGTATGTGGTATGTGGTAGGTTGGGGAACTCACTAAACTTCGTGCTTACGGTTTTCAGTTTTGGTTTCAGGTACTTCCGGTAGCGGAGGGAAGAACTCGGGGTGATCGCATGGCACACACACACACCAAAGAAGTTTAGCCTGGGATGCTTACTCTGGTAAAATGGACAAGTGTTTTGAAAAGATACTCTGATTTGTTATATAACCCTTCTAGTATGTTTGAAATGATTTGATTCTATGGTTTATTAATGTTTTAAAAAGAAATTTTTGGTCATGATTTTTGGGATGTTACAAGTTGGTATCAGAGCCTTGGTTTGAGGGATTCAGATACACTCTTGGGCGTGTCTGAACTCAAACTGAGGACTTGGTATGAAAGTTTTCAAATGGAAATCATTTTTGTAAAAGAGCTTTGAGAAAAAGAAAAAAGATTTTGAAAAGAGAAAAGAACTTTGAAAAAGAGCTAAAGGGTGTAGTGCATGCAATCAGCCGAGCTCAAGTAATTACCCCAAAATACCCGTACAAGTTATGTTATGCTATGTTTATTAGAACTGCATGCTAGATTAGGACTAAGGATCTAGGAATATGTCTTATGTGCCTGCTTTATGTGTATGAGCTTTATGAATTGCATGCTAGTACAGATTCCTGATTTGAGGAGAGAACAGCTTGATTGGATTATGTGGTTAGCTTTCCCAATGCCCGAATGTTGAATGCTTTGTGCTATTAGGAGTTCTAGTTATGTCTAATTAACTAGTAAACAAATATGCTAAGTTACATATTGCAAGGACTAAATAATTTCAGAAGGTTAGGTCTAGCCCTATTTCGCAACTCTCGTTTGAGTCTAACTGTTATAGGGTAGGACCTCTCATTCGAAGAATTATCTAGTCTAAGAAATATGTAATGGCATTCGCGAGTTAGTTAAGGGGAGATAACAGGGACTTCTTATGCAGCTGATGGCAGATAGTGAGTTGGATGTTACCCTAGGGCAAGCCTAGGATGAGATTAGTGATGGGAGCAGTGTTAGTAGAAGGGACTTGGAGGAGTCGAGGCAATTCTTGAGGAAAGTACGGATAGATGTGGAAGGTAGTAGGGGCCCATACTACTGAAAGCAGAGGATCCGTACTCGATTCAAGAAGGGCTGAGATAAAACCGGGGAACTTGTAATAGGGGTGTGATCCCTCAGTAGAGATGTGTATTCTGATGGTA